TAATAATAATAATAATAATAATAATAATAATAATAATAATAATAATAATAATAATAATAATAATAATAATAATAATAATAATAATAATAATAATAATAATAATAATAATAATAATAATAATAATAGTAATAATAGTAGTGATAATAATAATAAATGTTTTACCCGCCTAAATAATCATTCATTAATTCACCAGATAATCCATTATTGATAAACATGCCATAAATTAGAATGTAATATTATATATTTTTTGTTTGTTATCCAAACTAACGAAACAATAAAAACATTTAATTAAAAGAAACTAATCTTAATTTATTTATTACTTATTTTAATCGTATCAATTATTTTCTTTGACTGCTAGTTTTTTTTCCTATTTTTCCAGTGTATACGTAAATTTTTAATTTAGTTTAATTATTTCATAATTCAAAAATAAAACGTTATCATATATTTTCATTTGTATGCTTCCTTATTTTTTTCTCTCTCCCTTTCTTTTCCCTCTTTTCTCTCTCTCTCTCTCTCTCTCTCTTCCTTTTGTATTTACAAAACTTTTAAAGAATTAATATTTTTTTCAAAATAAATTATTTAATTTAATACACGTATAATAACTTGCTGTTACAATACAATTTCTGTCACATTTATTAATTCTTTATGATTAAGTTTAAAATTTAAAATTAATTTTTACACCTTATAGTTAAAGTTAATTTTGCAGGTAATCACACAATTTATAGTTAATTTGAACAATTTAGGATTATTGTTAAAGATAATTATTTTTCATTTATAATATCAATTCATTTTAATATGGCTATCGGAAATAGCTGGAAAACAGAATGTTAGTATCAATATTATAAAAATTTTTTCAATTTTAATTTCAAATATTCAAATTTTCAGCTTACTTTCTTTTTATTTGTTGGCTGTTTTGGTTTAAAAGCGGAATATTTGGATGGCAATGTTCAACTAGAACCGGTATCAACAACAATTAATCAACAATTAAATAGGATTCAATCACGAAGATTCGATAAATTGAAGTATTTTTTTCACTCCTTTTTTTTTCATTTCATTTTGGCAACTTTATAAGATTGATAGTAATCAATAAAATTGATGGCATACTTGGAAATTTTCCTCTTCTTGCTTTTCAATTTAATTTCTTCAAAAATTTAAATTAAAATATGAGATTCAATTAATTTATTAAAATGAAATTAAAAGAGGGCAAATAAAGCGAGCAAAAAAGAAAAGAAAAAAGCTGATAGAAATTTGAATAATAAGAAATGATATTTGGAATTTAATTCCAATAACAATTATGTAAGTATTAGTGAATTCGTTTTTGATTAATTATATGAAAAATATTTCAATATTTTTCTGCTTTTCTTTATTTTTTTCATTCTTCATTTATAATATTATTCAATTTTCATTTTTTTGTGCGCTATTTTATTTTTCTTCTAAAATTTAATTTCATTTAATGTATTGAAAAATAATTCATTTGGTTTGTTTTACAATATGGAAGTTTTTATTTTATTCCAATTACATTTTGTTCATTTGTATTTAAATTTTTAATAGCATTTAGTTTATATAATTAATTCAAATAATTTGAAAAGGTACAGAAAAAGTTAACAAATGATTTATTACAATTCAGGAAAAATATTTAAAGAATGAAAAATTGAAATAAAATAAAACGAATTGAAAAATTAAGAAAAAAAGAAATCAAATGTATCAATTGATAGTTATTATCGCAATCAATGGTATTATCCTAAATTGTCGCCCAAATTAAATGATAAAGCAAAAATCAACCTGTTACATATATAAACATGCAGATACAAACAAGAGATTTTGATTAGTTTAATTACATTTTAATTAATTTAATTAGTTTCAATTTAGAAGGTAATTAATGTATTTTGATTAAATGGTGGATAATTTCGTAATTATCTTACACATTTTTTTATTTTCAATTGTAAACTAATTGAAGAATAATGTAATGATATGTGCTATTTTGTAGTAAAATTGATGATGATGATGATGATGATGATATCAGTTCACATGCATTCAGTGGTATTCGTGGTTTACCGGGTTTAGAATTCCGGATTAATTCAAAAGGTTTCTTGTATGCTAGTCTTTTAGCCGGTCCAATTATTGACGATGAAATTAGACGAATCAAATTAATGCCATCAAAGCAATGCTTTCAACAAGTAAGTATTACTTAAATAATTTGAATAATGCCAAAAACTTTCCAATTTTCCTTTCTTATAAACTAATTCTTTCATGGAAAAGAAGTAACTTTATAAGATAGTAATTTAAAAAAAAAAATTTAATTTCAGTTCAATGGTTGTATTGAAATTTCAAATTTAATCATTTCAAGATATCAATGTCCACAATTAGTATCGTTATATCCAGCACCACCTAATCGTCTCATTTTCACCATTCAAAATCTCGATCTTGAGTAAGTGTTGTAAAGGTAATCTAATGCTATTTTAAAATATTTTAGTGTTTTTCTATCACTAAATTTTGCTGCTTTTTTGTTTTTTTTTCTTTTTTAATTCAAAAATTTTCAAATTATATTAAACATGATGGTATGTTAAGATTTGTCGAATAATTATTAATTATTGAAAAGCAAGAAAGTTTAATTGAATTAAATTATCAAAAGTTTTATTAAGGTTTCTTAATAATGTATAAATTTTTATTAATATATAATTATTAATAGAAAAGAAAGCTTAATTATTTTATATGAGTACAATTGTTTTAATTACTTAATTATTTGTGTAAATTTTTGTTAATATATAATTATTAATAGAAAAGAAAGCTT